GAGTGTCACAAGAGGTAAATCTCGCTTGAGAACTTACTTTATAAATATGCATATGAAATCTGGAAGTACAACACTTGAGTCAGAGTCTCACTCGCTGCCTATCATCTTGTGATTAAAGTCCAATTTGCATCCTCTTAAATAATTGTCTGACTATGTTGGAGGCCTCATGAATGGAATGTTATCATTTTTATATATAAAGCCACTCCCATTGAATTGTAATATGTCCATTGAGAATCCTTCTACATTAATCTTACAATAAAAAATTATAGTTTTTTTACTGCAATTCAATGTCATTGTTTTTTTTTGTGAAATTCATGTTATTGTTATGAATTGAACTTAATCTATCATTTACTTATATATACCTAGTAAAATATTTGGCGAAGTCTATGAAGTTAATAATATGTTTTCATTGTTTTGTAACATAGACTGAAATTGGTTGAATCTTGTGAACAAAGAAATAAATATTTATATTATCAACGGATTGCGGCAGCTGGGTTTCTCAAGGGGATGGGGGGATTTGGAGCAGGGGCAGAGGGAGCTAGGGAGGGGATTGGAGGGATGGGGGCTGAGAAAGGGGGCTGGGGAGGGTAAGGAAGGTGGGGAAGATGACGGCGGCAGGGATGTTGCGATGGCAGGCTGGCAGCCATTGTAGGCAGCTGCGACAGGTGGCTTGGGAGGGGGATTTGGGGGCTTGGGAGAGTAAGGAAGGTGAGACAGATGGGGGCGGTTGGGGATTGTGTGATGGTGGTGTTAAGATCTGAGGTTCCATCCTAAAAGGTCAACCTGATAGGAGGAGTAGCTCAGATCTTAATATAGCACATTGTTGATTCAAACTTTTTCGGTGTGGGACTCTAATACCTCTCCTCACGACCAGACACTTTGTCTGGATCGTGTCATCATTCATTTTTTCCGTCGATTCATCATTGTCAAAAATATTTATAATCGTGTCGTCATTTTTCATAAGGGGGCCCACACCATGGATCGATTTGGCTTTGATACCATGTTAAGATCTGAGGTTCCATCCTAAAAGGTCAACCTGATAGGAGGAGTAGCTCAGATCTTAATATAGCACATTGTTGATTCAAGACCCTCATACACCATCTTGAGGGGGTATTGGAGCATTACGATCACACATGCACGTTAAATTACTTGAGTTATGGAGCCCGCACGTGGACCATATTAGCATTCCATTAATTGTTTATTGTAAATGTAATGCTTATCAGTTAAAAGTAGTTTAGTCATAGTATAATTCTTTGTACGTTGCGAATATTTATTAGCTCCCAGTTTATAGGCTTAGGCGATGCGCTACAAGTGTATATATGTATCATTCTCATTCAATGAAAAGCACGATTGAATCCAATATCTCGAGTGCAGTTTTACATCTTCGCATCGAAAGACTGCCCGACTCCACATGCTATCCTTTTCGGCCCACTTCACCCTAGGCGATCATTATTTAGATCACATTGGTTATAATGGTTATAGTTTGATAATTTTGGGTTACGTTCCTGCAATGGGTTTGTGTTGGTTGCATATGGAAAACACATTATGATATGGAACCCACTTACACGCTGGTCTACCAAAGTTCTTGAGCGGCAATGCCTCCTTAAGGATACTGCTATGGGAGGGCTTTGTTACAATCCATTCACGTCGGATTACAAGGCTATCTTGTTACTTAAAGGTGGATGTGCTATTGTTTCTAATCTGAAAAAAAAACGTGGAGAAAAGTTTCATTCCTGTATAACTATATGAATTGCCAAGATGGTGTCAATTTTAACAATACATTCCACTGGATAGTGAGATCTGAACATGGGAATTTCCATGATTTTTCTGATTATATGAGATATTACAATAGGATTGTTTACTTCGATCCAACTGATGACACATTAAATATTTTGCTCTCCCCTGTATCAATTTATCCGGAAGAAAAAGACTCGATAGTTGGTGCGGGGATCATAGATGGATGTTTCTGCATGGCTCGGGAGGATATCAAGAGGCAGGTGGTCTAAGTTTCAGTTATGAGAGAATACGGAAAATCAGTCTTGGGTCAAATCATTTTCCATCTCCATCTTGAGATTTGCACCACATGCATGATGCATGACGTTTACAACTTCAAGTTTTTGTCTGAAAATGGGAAAAATAACGTACTGGTGACATCTCATTTTTATGGGGGAAGTTATGTTTAATTAATGGGAAATTCTATGGTGCACATCTAAATTTTGCATGTATGGTACACCTTCTTATGTAGGCAAATAAAACAATGCCACATGGACATTAAATCCATATATATTTTAATTATTTTTCATGTGGTACAATATTATTGGCCCCCTATGGTACAATCAAATTAAGGGATGCACCATAGAACTCCCCTTAATTATTTGATAAAAATGATTAATAGGTAAAAAACAGAAGCTATTAGGTGGATTCTCACTTAAATATCGATGGTTATTTTAAAGGGAAAAGGGTCAGATAGACCCTCGAACTTAAATAAAAATGTCAAATAAGCACTTATATAAGAGGTTCTGTCCGGCCGTCGTCATTTGGGGCGGTTTCCGGTGGAATTTTTTGATGAATTTTTTTGATCATCTTATTCATTAAGTCTAGTTTACTCATACGAAATTTCAGTTAAAACTTCAATCGGGAAGACATTCAAATGAATTCTTGAAGATAACTTCAATCAGTTTCCCTTTGAAGATAACTTTAAAGGGAAAAGGGTCAGATAGACCCTCGAACTTAAATAAAAATGTCAAATAAGCCCTTATATAAGAGGTTCTGTCCGGCCGTCGTCATTTGGGGCGGTTTCCGGTGGAATTTTTTGATGAATTTTTTTTATCATCTTATTCACTAAGTCTAGTTTACTCATACGAAATTTCAGTTAAAACTTCAATTGGGAAGACATTCAAATGAATTCTTGAAGGTAACTTCAATCAGTTTGGCTGTGATGCCATGTTAAGACCTGAGATTTCATCCTAAAAGGTCAACCTAATAGGAGGAGTAATTCAAATTTTAATATAACACTTTATTACTTTATAAATTTTCAGTGTGGGATTTCAACGATAATATTTAATACTTTTGTGTTATTAGAAATAGTCAGCTTTGAAATAGATGAAAAATAAAAACGTAAAAAATATGTAATAGAGATTTGTGTAGAGGAGAACTGGAGAAGAAGCAATCAAAAGCACAAATTAGTTAATACCTTTGTCCCACTAAGATATAAGGAGTGATGTGATAATTAAAAAAAGTAGGATTATGTTGATGGTATTGAATTAATATAGTGCGAATAAAGTTGGGAAGACGTGTAATCATTCAAATCTTACTAAATATGGTATGAGAGGGATGAAAATGGTTTACTGCATGCTCCATCTTTCAATCAGACTAGGATATGAGTGCACCCGGATGATCGATAATTTCGTAGTTTGGATTTTAGTTTCAACTTTTGACTAGGTCTAACGGCAAAAATGTTTCAATTTTTTTACTTTACTATTGATCACGAAAAGGGAAAATTTGCACTTTTGGTCCCTGAAATATTCACGAAAATGAAATGTCGGACCCGTATTTCTCATATTGTAAATGTCACCCCCCTCAATTGTCCAAATTGTTGTAAATGTGGTGGCCCTTTAAGGGGTGAAATGTACTCTCACCCACATTGTATATTTCACCTCTCAAATGACCATATTTATAGTATTTAGTACAATTGAGGGATGACATTTAAAAACTTGAGAATACGGGTCCAACTTTTCATTTTCGTGACTATTTCAGAGACTAAAAGTATGATTTTTCCTCGCGAAAAATACGAAGTATGCTTTTTCATTTTTTCAAGGAAGAAAAACGTTTTCCATTGAAATGAGAAAGCGAGAAGTGATAATTGACACTGATTGCAATGTCAATGGAGCACACTACTTTTCCGCTTTCAATGGTTGTATGACTTGTATCAATCACAAAACCCCACCTACATCCAAATAAAGATGATGATCGAAAAATAATTACTCTTTCCATAAGATTGTAGGGATGTTTTCAATTCGAACATTATTAGGAGTATTTATTATCAAATCAAAACTTTATATATTTTTACTTGAACTGAAATTTTATTATCAGGTCTAATTAGACTTGATTTGATCATGAAAATGTCTGATGTCTTTGTATTTTATAACTTTCGAAATCCAATATCAAGTCTCGGCTTCTTGGGCGGCCTCAGGGCCGGCTCTAGCATATTTGAGGCCCAAGGCATTCATAAAAAACTTGTTTAACAAAATAATGTGTTTTGTATAACAAAATACGTAGTAGGTAGTACATAATGATTTTTTACTAAAGTATTACCCCGTCTCATTTTATGTGTCATATTTTAATTTGACACAATCACACAATTATTAATAAATTAATTGAAAAAGTAAAAATTGTTACTAGTATTAGATTTGAGTATAATAAAGTGAAATATTATAGACAACAAATTGTTTCCGAAAACAAATGTATTACCTCTGTCCTTCTAATATTGGGGCAAAAGAGGGTAGTGCATTTGTTAAGAAAAGTATATTATGTAGTTGATAATGAAATGATAAAGTGGAGATAAAGTAAGAATGGATTGGAGTCGCATAAATATTACTAAATATGGCATTGGCCGGACAAATTTAGTGGGACGAACGGAAACGGAAAATTGGGATAATTATAATGAGACCACTAAAATGGGACGGATGGAGTATTACTAAAATAAAGCAGTACTATAGGTATACAATCAAGGTATTTGCAGTCCGAAATGAACATAATTATAGGATCAAATGTATTATTTTTATATTACAAATTATTTTGTATAAGAATATGTGAATTCTCAAAGTTTAACATCAATGATACGATTAAAAAAAGTTTAACATCAATGATCAATAAGGTTAAAACAAATAAATTTTTATCAACATATTATTAAGGACTCAAATACGAAGAATACATACTCCGTAGTATTGAAACTTTAAATAAATTAAAAGAGTGAAATCATCACTGATTCAATTATGAACTTTAAATTTGTGTTTAAATTTATTTATAGTTTAATGATGGATGACACTATAAAAGAATTGGTGCCTTCTCGTTTAAGAATGCAGTGGGAATCACACAAAAAATACAAAATGATCTCTCTCAAATAAAACATACATATATATAAATAAATAGCATTTCTAAAATTAGAGGCCCTAAAAAAATATGGAGGCCCTAGGCACTTGCCTAGGGTAACTCCCCCTATCACCGGCTCTGGGCGGCCTTTGAGCATCTTCAATGGGGATGTCTATTTTCTTACGCACTCTAGCTTACAATTGGGTCCCATTTTTTATCTCACAAATTTTATGTGTAGGACCTGCATATCTCCTTAATTATTTTCATTTTCATTTTTATATCACTTCTAACCCACTTTTCATCCACTTTTTCTCCTCGATTCCTGTGTAATGTCTATTTATAGACATTGTCATAGACATTGTCTACAATTTACTCCTATCTCTCTTCCTTTTCATTTTTCCATACACAACACTTTCTCCATATTAAATTAAAATAATCATCCTATCTCTATCTCCCTCCTATGCCACGTAGGATAGACTTTACTCCAATCCACTACCCTATTGGAGATGCTCTTCTTATGGCTTTCATCCCGCTTCCGCCAGGCTTTTTGGGCCGTCGGACCGGGCGCAACGACATCAGTGGCCTTCTTGGAAGCATTAGGGTCAGACTTCTTCTTGGCAGCGTCACCAGATTGTTGCTTGCCAGCCTCATCTTCGACTGGAGCGGCCCTCATCTCGGCTGCCACCTTCATTTCTTCTTGAGCCGTGAATTGAAAGATAGCCGATTCATCTCGAACTCTGCACAATACATAAAACAGTTAGGAATAAGCACAAAGTCAGAAGATAAAAGATGTGAGCCCGGTGACCACCTTCGAGCGTAGAAGTGACACCTGATATTCCCCCCCCCCCCCCCCCCCCCCGACTTTCTCCTACTACGCAGCTATCCGTGGGGACATTCCATCATCGACATCACCAGCAACGTAGTATCAGACGAACCCAAAGGCACCTGGACTCTAATATATATACTCTTTCACGTCCCTCGGCCCGCCCTTCAAATATTGGCCCATGTCCGTAGAGGTAAACCAGATCAGACTTTCATAGTTATAAAATACACACATACCAGACATTTAGCAGACTGAACCAAACAAGTTCAAACTAGATCATACTTAAACAGGCCAGAAAGGAAAATGTTTCAGCAAATTTACCAAGAAATTTCAAGTCCAGGTAAAAAAAATTAGGCTATAAGCAACAAAAATGTTTCAATTTTTTACTTAACTATCAAGAAAAATACAAAGTATGCTTTTTCATTTTTTCAAGAAAGAAAAATGCTATCCTTTAAGATGAGAAATGAAGAAGTGAGAATTGACATTGATTGCAATGTCAATAGAGCACACTACTTTTTTACTTTCAATGGTTCTATCAATGAGAAAACCCCACCTATATCCAAATAAAGATGATAAAATATGATTACTCTTTCTATGGGATTTTATGTTTTCAATTCGAACGTTATCAGGAGCAGTTATTTTCTGATCAATATTTCAGATATTGTTATTGTTAATTGAATTAAAATTTTAGCATTTGGTTTGATTTGACCTGGTTTGGTTTGATAAATGAGTGGTCTCTGTGTACTTCCGAACTGTCGCAATTCGGTTTTGTATAATATGGTCCATACTTGTCCGGTCTATATGTTTAACTCAGTTTTGGTCAGTTCTGGTCTGAGACTTATGATGTTTTCTTCTAGACTATTTTCATTCCCATATATGACCAGACTAGATCAAACTTAAACAGATCAAACTTAAACAGATCAAACCAGACAAGAGTTAAACGGGTCAGGCCAAATTAGACCAGACTTTCATAGTTATAAAAATACAGAGACTAGACATTTACCAGACTAGACCAGCTCATATCAGACCTGATCAGACTTCAGCAGATCACACCAGATCAGATTAGATCAGATCATACCAGAATAGTAAATTTCAGACCATAAGAAAACATCCTTAAAATAGTTCAAATGAAAACATCATTATAGTTTAAAAAGTAAGATAACCTCTTTTTCCGATTCTGGAAACTGCACTGAGGAGGTCCGAGGGTTTAGGTGGAAGGCCGTTGAAAGAGGGTGTAGTTTTGGACATGTCTATAGAAAAGGTAATGGGTCGGCCCACTACTTATCAATTCAACGATTTCCAGCAGCCCAAGTTGGTAGGTATGACCGGGTCAGTCATTTACCTATTGAAGTTAAAAACAGCTATTATGCTGATCTCTTTGGCTTTCCTAGTTTGCGTTTATAATTCATGTATTTTATTTTTGGGTCAGGTCTAGCCCCCCCCCCCCCCCCCCCCCCCCCAAAAAAAAAAAAAATATTTTAGTTTGGTTTTTGCTTTTTTCATGTATTTTAAGAGGAATGCCTCTTTGAGGGGTTTTGGTCTGGTTCCCATCTCGATTGTATTTTTGGATAATCAATAAAACACTGGCAAGCGTTCCCCGGCATTTGCCCCACTGATTTTGGTGGTTTGCCTTCCAGGATAAAAAAAAAAGTAAGATAACCTCTTTTTATTAGATGTCTTCATATACAAGGTATTTGGAAGGAGATTATTAGCATAACAAATGATTAGATTAAAGTGAAATGATAAGGACCACATATTTCTGGTCAATAACAAAAACATGACATCTATTATTCAGTTGAATAATATGAATTCGTAGATAAATGTTCAAACTCAGATATCGTAAACACAGTTAGAAATAAACATAGTTGCATTCATTAAGAAAAATGAATTAGTATTGAAGCTCTCATGTCCAAATTTATAGTGCTTTGCTCTTGGGTGGCGTTTGGTTGCTTTTCTATCAAACATTTTTGTGATTATACGTTCAACTTAAAAATAAATCACACATTAAGTCAACTAAGTCAACTAATGTAATCTATTTTATAGGAAAATTGTTTGTTTTCCTTAAGTTTGCATGCAACCATTTCACGTGCAAAAATTTACCGTGTAAACTACCAAATGAATCCTACATTGTTTTTAAATAGAAAATTTGAAATAAAATTGTATCAGTTTTTATAAAATACAAGGTAAAAAATATGATATTGAAATGAAGTGTCGTACTATAATCATAATATACGGAGTATAAATTATCATGTTGTTACTTTTGCATCCTTCATCCTTAATGAAGTTCTCATTTCCATTTATGATGCATAATTGAGGATATGGTTAATTTTTCCCGATAATATCTAAATTAGTATGAATAATTGAAATTTATGTATTTAAAAACAATATAAAGTAATATTGAATCACAAAATTTAATAAGGAAATCAACATTGCATCTCAAAATTCATAACAGAACTACAAATAGATAGAGTTTTGGCATTAATTAATCACACATTATTGGCATGTCTTAGTCCCAAGTTTGTTGAGATCGATGAAGTTACTTTAACAAGGATTTTATCATAGATTTGGCACAGATTCACCGATACTTGCAAAATTTATGACAAAGTAATTGATACTTGCAAAATTTATGACAAAGTAATTACCTGAGTTGTTTTGTCACAAAAATTAACACAAAAGCACCAAGATTTGTGTACACCTTTGTAGTGTATTCTACTACTAGATGGCAACAAACAACGTTAAAGAATTCTACTTCAAATTCGAACAAAGGATTTAACTCTTACCTTACATATTAATGCATCATGAGAGGATTTGATGTATTAAATCATATTATTAATTGATAGGAATAGAATAGAATAAGACTCAAAGTTGGTCTAAACCAATGAAAAGGTTACAAATCCAATACATGACATCAAATATTATTGAAAGAGATTTTTGCAACTATTGTTCATTTGTTATCTACCGACTCGTTTAATGATGATGTTTTTCAACTTATTAGTCTTATCAATTATCATTTCAATTATCATTTTTTTACTATACGCACTAAATGGTACTACCTTCGTTCTAAAATAAACATAAGCACATTTCACAATTATCAATGTGCAACTTTGAATGTTAATATATGCAATTCTTTATTAGTAAAAAATTTAAAATAAAATCAGATTTTGAAAATTTACAACAAGAAAAATTTAATGATATCTTTAAAAAATAATTTATTAATAAATAAAATGTAATCAAATTATAACACGTGAACATATAAAATTCAACATGTCAAAGTTATTTAAGAACGGAGACAGCTCTTTCGAAAAAAGAAGATATTATAATAATAAAAATAAGTAAACTTGAACTTACTTTTTTACTGAATTGACTAAAACAATTATAGAGGATCAGTTTAATTATTTTTCCATATAATTTTTCCTTTATTGTCATAATAAAATAATCACGAATTATAATTTTTATATAATTCAACAAATTCAATCGATGCACCCGCTTCACCTTGAGCTTTATCAATTCAACAGATTCAGTCAATTTTAGTATTATCAAACTGATTCTATGGTAAAAAAACATTGAAACCCATTGATAACCCATATTTACCAAAAACACAACTTTTAATTTCCATCCTGAATTGTGTAATAACTATAAAAATATAACTAAAATTAAAATTCTGACTTAATTGGTTAAATTTTTTCTTTACTTTGTCATTAAAGATATTTTAAATACTCTCTCCCTATTTAAAAGTTCCATACACTTTCCCTTTTGGGATGAATTTTAAAGTTCTATACACTTTCTCATTGAAGAAAGTTTTATCTATGAAAATACATGATTGCCCTTATCTTTTTACCCACATTCAATTATATTCTACTTTATCATGTATCTTCTCTTTCCTACTTTATCACTTTACTCTACCCCTACTATTCTATCTTAAATTGTGTTCCCAAAGCTAATGTAAAAACTTTAAAATACGGAGGAAGTATATTTTAAATACAACGATTCAACTACTTCTACTAAAATTTCATTAATTTCAATCAATTTCAATTTTTCCAAACGGATTGTTAAATGAGAAAAATAAATTGTGAATAGAATCCAATTTAGGAAAATATCCAGTTTTTAAACAACCGCAAAAGGAAAGTATAATTACCAAATGGTACACAAAGAGTACTTTGTATTTTTTAAATTGTTTTTAATGTTAATTAATTAATTTGAAGTTCTTTGAGCTCAATTAGTGATAATATTTTTTGTTTTATTAGTTTTATCAAGCTTTTTTCACTAAATGCATAATTTAAATGCATAATTTTTGTATACGCGCAATAAGTTACTAATAATTAAAACAAAGGAAAAAAATAATTTCCTGGCTAAATTAGCACAATTAATGTTTTAACTATTTTTCCTAGAATATTTTCTTTATTTTCTTTATGTTGTTTTTATTAATAAAATACGGAGTATATTTTGAATATAATTTATTTATAATTCATAATAATCAACCCAACTATTTCAATATTACCGAACGAATTGTTAACTATTTCAAAATTATATCCTTATCTAGTTTTTTTTCTCGAAATTATAATTAGCAATCCTTACCGAACGAATTGTTTATTATTTCAAAAAAAACTCCGCCATGAGATCATGTTTTTGGTATCATGCATGTCCCAAGCCAGGATAAAGGAGGAGGGTGTTGTGGTAGGCGTGTGACAGCGAACAGTATTACTTGGTCACATCACATGACATGAATCGAAATATGAATATCGCTACAGCTAGGTCGTCGCCCGTAAGCGACGCGTCATCCCTCCGTCTGGAGGTGGTGTCAAATATGCAAGGGCGCGCTACACTTCATAGGCCTGGGTGTGGTGATAAGAATGCTAAGGCTGCTAGGTCGTCGCCCGGAAGCGACGCGCCACTCCAATGCCCGGGGATGGTGTCAAATATGCAAGGGCCCGATGGGAGTCGATGTGGTGTGAAGAATAAAAGGCAGGGTGCTAGATTGCGTTTTGGGACATTGAATGTTGGCTCGCTTATGGGAAGAT